GAAGGAAGGAAGGAAGGAAGGAAGGAAGGAAGGAAGGAAGGAAGGAAAAAAGGAAGAAAGACTCCCTGAAATTTAGTTGCTTTAGAACACTGGGCAAATTATTTAACATCTCTGAGCCTCTTTTTTCTCACCAGTAAAAACTGGATAATGAACTTTTCTCAGGGTGCTTGGCAGTAATCTATAAAGCGAGAAAAGCACACAACTCATGCAGGACACAAGACAAATACTAACCAGTGTGTTCCTCCTTTCTAAACCACAACTGAGGAATACACCGTTTAAAGTCTTCCATTTCTTAAAAGTTGAATGTCTCATATGCTAAAATAATTTTTACTTTTTAAGTTAACAGGATTTACGGCACGATTTTAAATTTTCAAATGTCTCTTTGGTATAGGTATAAATATAATGTGTATTTATATTGAAAAGATCACCTACCAATTATTAAAAGTGATAACATCTCAGATTAAATAGCATGAGGATTTGATTACGAGTCAAGTGCTGACTCTGAACATAGTAATTTATATATTCCAGATGGATAGTATCAGTCCTATAGTCTAATAAAAGCCAAGAGGTTTCAGGTTAGGTTTGTAATTTAAATTCTTTCTGGAGTCATCATATGTAAAGTGCTTATTTTTCTTTTATCACCAGCTGTAATCTATGATTATGTGGTGCAGGCTCTGTTAGGTAAACTTGTTTCGTGTTGTGCTTCATCCATAACCAAAGTTCTTAAATAAAGGGTTAGGAAAGGAAATAGCAAGTCTTTAGCCAGGACAATATCATGCGACTAAATCCTGTATGGAAAAACTCCTGAGACTAGATCATTTTAAGGTCTTAAATTTTGTGGCAATGACATGACATATCCACTCTTGTAAAAATCCATCAGTAAGAGTTTGTCACGTGGCTAAAGCTGAAAACCAAGATGGGGAGCACGAGGGGAGTCTGGGCAGGAGCAGTCTTGATGTGGAATTTGGATCTTACTGCCAAATGTCCTTGAGCCCTGCGTTAGAGGTTATCTTCTATGTGGAGCTAGTCTAGATGTTTAAAAGGGAGGTGAATAAAAATGTGAAGAAAATGGTAGAGCTTAGCCTTCTGCAGAAGTGAGTCCACCTGCGAGAAGATTTGTGACCCTGCTGCTGAGGGAAATTCGGGAAATCTCTCTGTCTGGTCAACCGACCATAGTGGATCTGCATGCCTGGAGCATAACCTAGCCAATCTGCAGCGCATACATTGCAACATGCAGTGAGTGGTTTGGGAAAGGTAGAGGTCTGAAGGAGAGTAATAAGACAGCAATTACCGTAGCTCATGCAATCTCAGATTTCATCCAAAGATGATAAAGATGTGGATCTTAGAATCAGTGAAATAAATAATAAGAATTTATGAGCCAAAGACCTTTTCTGGGGGCTCCATTGCATCAGACCGCAGAGGGATTTACTTTCATGAGGAATAGAACATTCATCAGACCACCATAAATTACCTACATTGGACCATGTAGTGCTCTGTTCTTTTTCCAGGGCCACAAGGTAATTCAGATTCTCGGGTATGTGGATTCACAAGAAAGACTTAATCTAGACAGCGAACATGTGGTTTTGGTTAGCGTGAGTATTCCCCTGTATCTGGACTCAAGTGAACTGATAAGATACAGTATTTAGTCCTTCCACAGGAGGACTAGACTCATTTCCCAAAACGAACCACCAGGTCAGGCTTTGCCTAGACGAGACGGTTAGCTTGGCTCTCCAACTAGTATTCCTGGTATCACAACATTAATACCCTTCATTGTCCTTCAGTTTAAACTCTATCTCAGAAATATGGTACAAAACATTCTAATTTAGCAATTCTGAGAACTCATGGGAAATATTGGACATAGGAGAATATGGTATTGTGAAATTCGGGTTTGTTATTGTTATGCCTGATTATTTACCTAGAAATGCTTCAGTGTCCACTCAGAAGGACCTGTCTTACATGGGTTCTGCTATACCAACGTCCTGATAAGGAGTGCACAGTCAAGCAGCGCCTGGGTGGCTCAGTCAGTTAAGCATCTGCCTTCCACTCAGGTCATGATCTCAGGGTCCTGGGATCGAGCCCCACATCAGGCTCCCTGCTCAGCAGGGAGTCTGCTTCTCCCTCTCCCCGCTCATGCTCTCTCTCTCTCTCTCTCTCTCTCAAATAAATAAAATCTTAAAAAAAAAAAAAAAAGGAGTGCATAGTCCAGGAATGGGCACCTACTGTTACTCAAATCAGGAAGTCCATGCTTCAGAAGGGACTACTCCAAGCTCTGCTCTTAACTGTTCTAGACCAATCAGCCACCACTGTGCTCCTTAATATACCAAAGTTTTTAGCAGTAGGTTTTTATTGGTGAATGGGGTGGCCTATTGACTAGTCCTGTAGGTGTTAGAAGTGGGCTCGAATTGGTGAGTTTAAAGCTCTCCAAGATACCTAGGTCAGCCAAAATAGTTCAGAAATCCTCCCACCTTGCAGGAACAGTCAGCAAGAGTCTCATGGAGGCTGGAACTTAAACCCTGAGTGATGGGGCTTCAAGCTTGATGCCCTGCCAGTCCTCCATCCAGCCTTTACTTTATAATTGCTTGATGCCTACTAACAAGACCTAGGATCTTGCTTCTGGAATGTTATCATACCTGCTTCAAGGGAATCATTCACGCTTGCTGGTAGTTCACCTGAAAGGACAGAAAGGTGGGGCTCTGGGGACCTCTACAAACAGGCTGCATAAGCTGTTTGGGGTCTGCTTGCACAAGAGTGTTTTTAAAAATAAATGTGGGAGACTGGCTTTCAATATAAGCTGAGAGCAAGGTGTTGGGGAAACAGCTAATCTTTACCTTCATCAAACTTCTTTGAAGGATACAGCACCAATGCAAAGAATTGCATGTGATCAAATTAGGTCAGTTTTCTAGGAAGCCACAAAAAAGAATAAAAGCTTCTTTAATGTAACTGATTTTGATATGTAAGATCTGTATCTGTTTAATTCATCCTTGTATCCCCAGCCCAGACTAGTGCCACCCACATAGTAAGTGTTCAATACATATTTGTCAAATGAATCATTGATGGAGAAATTCTGAAGAAGTTCCTTAAAAGAGCAATTCTTAAAGCATCATGCACCTCAGTGGGGTGCACTGGAGAGCTAGGCAAGAAAATACTGTT